TTCACTTTTGAAGAGGATACCCCTTCCTAAAACTTCCCTTCTGGTGGTGATTCTTGTCCATGTATTGCCACAGATCTCTAAATAGAAGATAACCACTATAGTGGAGGCCTTCTCCCCCTGCCTGCCTTGGTTGGTGTTTTTTTTTTTTTGTAATAATAGTGAGAGGAGACAATTTTTTTTAAAGGAGTGAGGAACTGTCATTTTATGTCCCCAAACTTAGCACATGCCTTGCATCCAGTGGTGCTAAATGCTTACTCGGTACATTAAAGTACTATTTTAAAATGTATATAATCCAAATTCCACAATGAAGATCTAGTTATCTTTAAAATAGGGGGAAAAAATATCCATTTTTATTTTTAGAATGCTTTTCTAATTTGAATATTTTAAAAACATAATCTCTATCTCCAAGTTAGCCTCATAGTGAATTACATATACATTTTATTTCAGTGCTTAACTGTTAACATGCTGCTTTCCAAAAGTGGTACAGAGAGACAGTGTTAGGTTATACCAAAGCCCAGTTTTAAGGCATTTAGTGTAGCCATTTGACCTCAAATAACTAGCCACGTTGGTAAGTCTGTTTGCTCATTTTAACGAGGGTGTTTTGACATGGAACCATATATTTTCCTAAGCCAGCTCAATCTGCTTGTACTTCAGGTCTCTGGAGGTGAGAAAAGTGGCTTTTTCATTTGACTCTTGACCACATCAGAGTAATTGCAACCAAGCGCCAGGACTTTAGGGCTAGCTTCTGAAAAATAGAGCAGAATATTGTAAGTGAAGTACAATTAACCCCACCATTAAGGAAAGGCCCCCCATTCATTATCCCTTCAGGTGGTTTTTCTCAATGTTACTGCTATGGCATCCCCCCCCCAACACTCACCCATTTAATTTGGTTTGCCTGATACTCTGCCCTCAAACCTATTATTTAACATAGTGTTATGGAATTTTAAAAAAAAGTTTGCACATTTTTAGATATAAAGAGGTATAAATGCTGAAAATGGAACACAGTTGACTAGAAGCCAGATATCTGGGGCATAGTCTAGCTCTAATCTGCTGGTGGCCTTAATCAGGTCATTTTAACCATTCTGGGACTCAGTTTCCTCTTTGTAAAATAAAGGATGGAACTGGCTGATCTATAAAGTTCCTTCTAATTTTTATCATCACCTCTGTTCTTGTAACTCATGGCTCAGAAGGACAATTTGGGGTTCAATCTTGAAAGCTTCTCAAGAATAACTTAATGATTTAGGTTCTAGAAACATCTCTAATTTGGTTTCTAATTCTGTGTTAGGGAGCCTTAATTCTATAAGCATGCAGCTAATAATTAGCATTTACATATGTAGGAAAGATTTATTTAAGGGGACTGTCTGATTAATTAGCAATGGAGTTGTTATAAAGCCCCCTTTCCGATGATGATGATGATGATGATGGCTTTTTCCTTCTTCCCTTCCCTTTAGAGACTTTTCTCTCTCTCTCTCTCTCTTCTCTCTCTCTCTCTCTCTCTCTCTCTCTCTCTCTCTCTCTCTCTCTCTCTTTGTCTCTCTCTCTTTCTCTCTCTCTTTTGGTGAGGCAGTTGGGTTTCAGTGACTTGCCCCAGGGTCACTCAGTAAGTGTCAGGTGTCTATTCTGAGGCCACATTTGAACTTAGGTCCTCCTGACTCCCGGGCCATAGTGCTCTATGCACTATGCCACCTACCTGCCCCCTTTAGATTCTTAATAAGTGCTTCTTTACTCTTGTCCTGTAACTCTTTTGTATTTTTGCATAGCATTTTGCCAAATTGTAACTCCCACAGGTCCCAGCTTAGTTCTGGAACTTGTTTGGTGTTCTTAATATCAGGCTCACTTCCTTCCAGCTACCTATGCATGCTTCCTTAATCAAGAATACCTTTCTCCATTTATAACTTAGAGCAACTAGGTGGCACAGTGGATAGAGTATCCAGCCTGGAGTAATCTTTCTGAGCTCAAATGTGTCCTCAGACACTAGTGTGACCTTGGACAAATCACTTAGCTCTGTTTGCCCCTCAGTTTCCTCATCTGTAAAATGAGCTGTGGAAGGAAATGACAAACCACTCCAGTATCTTTGCCAAGAAAACCCCAAATGTGGTCACAGAGTTAGACATGACTGGAAAAACAACAGCCCCAAATACCTGCTTAGAACTTTTTTTAATATATGTATGTATGTACTCTAGAGCCTTTTCTTCTGTCCTACTGTTTAAGGAAAGGAGCTTCCTGAATTCCCAAATTCTTTGTGTATGAATCCTCTCTGCACATGGCCTATTAGAGCAGTGCTGTAGCAGTTAACTTCTGATGTGAGAATAGCTATAATAACAGTCCAATATTCTCTCCTCCTCCCTTGTGACTCCCTCCAACTGGATTCTGACATGTCAGCTGAGCTCTTGATAAAATTTCATTGAGAGATCATTCAAAATAATATAGAAGCAGTATAAAGTATACTCTGACTTAGAAATAAACTAAACTCTGACTTTGTGGTGATAAGCAAATACAAAAAAGTATGCAAAATCAGTAATGGAGAATAAACTTCTGTTTTCTGTTTTGAAAAATGTGTTCTAAGAACTCCTTTACTGGATCTCTACCAAGGCCTTTCCAGCTCAAAAACATATTTGTGTAATTCTTTGCGTCAACATTGCTCAATATATATATATATATATATACACACACACACACATCTTTGTTTTGGAAAGGATCAAAATCTGCCTTTCTGAATGTGTTGTATTGTTATGAAAATTAAGCTTCCAATTTATGTCTAATGCAAGGAAGGGCTTATTCTATTAGTAAGAGTCTTTTGTATATTTTATTCCCTTATAGTTTTTGAATCATTTTGCAAAAGTAATATTCTCAAACATTTTTATATTCCTTTCTGGTTTTAGGACTAATCTGGATCCTTTGAACAATAACTATATATTTTATTTACTGGTTCTGGTGGGGGGGTGGCGGATTGTTGTTTTACTTGGTACTCTCACAATTATATATTTTGAATCCCTCCATCCTCAGTTTAAGGGAAGGATTGATAGATTGGTTTTATCTTTTGAAGAAGCAAATGGCAAAAGCCAGAAGTGGCGATTGGCCAACGAGGATGGGTATGCAAAATAAAGTTAATTACTTTTTCTTCTTCCTTTTTCCCCATTTCCATTTGGGACTAGTACTTCACCTATCAGAGAGGTGGAAATAAATGTTAAATATAGTGAAAAGGGAATTTGTGTAGGCTTATTCCTTGGCTTTTGTGCATTTCTTTATCTCAGGCTTTAAGTTCTAGATGACCCATTTGGAATCTGTTTTTTGTAAAAGTGGGCTAATCTCATTTCAAAGGAAGCTGGAAATAGGTCTTAGGGCCGAGATGTAAATAAATAAAAAGTACAGGACAGCATAATGTTAATTTGTGATTTTCTGAGTCTAAATGCTGTCCATGGGGATCCCTTTCTATTAGAGTTTGATACCACCTATCTAAAGTATGGATTCTTTAAAGGTGTTCTCAACCTTTGCCTTTTCTATATTTGCCTCTTGGATGATCTTATCAGTGCCAGAGGCTTCTAACAATTATTTTACTGTCTCTTTGCAAACGGTTCCCAAATTTGTTTCAAACCCTGATTTCATTTCCAGATGCTAGTTGGATATCACCTGGATATCTTTCCACAACCTTCAAAATACAGTGTGTCTTAAAGCCATATTCATTTCTTCCATCCCATTTCTTTCACATTACTTTGCTGTTTCTGTCATTGAATCACTGGTTAAGACTCTTTAAACTCCAGTATTTTTTCATTCCTTTTGAAGACAAGTGTTCCCCCTACTCTAGGTTATTTCTGGTTTGTTTGTTTGTTTTTTCCCTTTTCCTTTTTTCTGGTTACTTCAAGCCATTACTAATTCTCATCTGGGATATTACAGTAGCCTTTTAACTAATTTCTTTCTCCTCTTCCAGTCTATTGTGCATAAAACCACAAAAGTATTCTTTAAAAAATATTCAGTCATTGCCTCCTTAAAAGCTATAATAGCTTCTGTTGCCCATAAAATACATAAGGTTTTTTTATCCTCATTCAAAACTGACCTTTACCTATCTTTTCCTCCTACCACTGTCCTACTACGTATATTCTATATATCAGACGAATCAGATTAATTCTCCACCCTCTGAACAAACTTTAGGTTTCTCTTGTGCCTATTGAAAACCCTGCCTATCCTTAAAGGCCCAACTCAAATGTCATCTTTTCCGTGAAGCTCTCCAGATTCCTTTCTTTGATTCCCAGCTACAGGTAGTTCAGTTTTCTCCTTCTGAGCTCTTAGACCCCTGGTAGCAAATCTTTTGACTAGGAATCAGATAAGTTCATCTGGGGTTCTCCTTCATTGGTACTTTATCTAGCTTTTGGTAAGTCTCTTGACAATTCAGTGAGTCTTATCATTTGGCTCAATCTCTTCATTTTACAGATGTCTGGCACTATTGTCAAAATTCTTGTGTGTTTCTTCTGTCTTCTAGAGTTTCTAAGCTGCTTCAGGATAAGGATTAGGTTTTATTAGTTTTTGCCTTGTATCTAATGGGCTCTTAGTAAATGTTTATTGATCTAAAACATTGTCATCTTCAAGTTTGATTATGCAATAGATAAAGATAACTTAAGGACTTTGAAAGGATCTCTTTATTAAGTCTAAAAGGAGAAAATGCTAAAATTTTAGTATTTGTTCAGGCTTATATGTTTTGGTAACTATTGGTAAACCTTTCTGAAGTATGTGTAAGCTTTGCAGTTTTAAAATAATTAGTGCATCTCTGATCTCATTGGTACTTTTTTCAACCCTTTGAACAAAACAAATAACATATATTAAAATGTGTCCCTTATTAAGTAACAAAGCATATATATTAGCTTTAGTGTCAAGTTTGTATTTAATGTTGTACTAACAATTGAAAACTATACTTTATCTTTCATTTGAATTCTAGGTAGTTTTTTTTTTAAATTTTCTAAACCTTTATGCTTACTAGGATTTTCCCCCCTCTTTTTTTTTTTAAGTCTCTATTGGAAAAGTTCTTGATTCCTAATGCTTCACAAGCAGAAAGCAAAGTTTTCTATTTGAAAATGAAAGGAGACTACTACCGTTATTTGGCTGAGGTTGCTGCTGGTGATGACAAGAAAGGTATGTCAGTGTTAAAATTATACTAATGAGTAACATTTGCTTTTGCACTTGGACAAATACCTTTGAGGAGAATGCAATTTCACTTTGTCTCACTAAATTTTTTAATGTGAAAGACTATGAAGTGATTCCCCCCCCCCCCGCCTCAAACAATCCCCATCCTCATTGTTTTTTTATACTTGTTTTTATTTTATTTAGAACATAATAGGGGAAACTTTCTCACTCAAATTTGTGTGAGCCCTGAGAATATGTTTTAAGTTAGACTTTTAGTTTTCAGTTCTGGCTTATGTATGCTTCAGTGGGAAGTTGGAACTACATATAGGCATACATATCTATACATCTCTAATAACTGTCAGGAGTGCCTGTGGAAGATTGTACTGAGATTGGGTTGCCTGGAGAAATTTGATAGCTTTGTATGCCAGTTTCATGATCACATGGTTATGCAGGTTTTAGATGAAGGATGATACTCTCACACTTTCTCAGTCACCAGTGAAGTGAAGCAGGGATGTGTCCTTGATCCCCTGCTCTTCAGCATGATGTTTTCTGCAGTGGAGGACAAAAATGGCATAAAGATCAGCTTCCACGCTGATGATAAACTATTTACCTTGAAAAGGCTGTGGGCCAAAACCAAAGTATAGAGGGCTTTTGTTCACAGATGATTGTGAGGTACAACAGCGTGTATGGATTAATTCTCTCCCACCTGTGCTAATTTTGGCCTGACAATCAACATTGAGAAAACAAAAGTTTTCCCACCAGCTAGCACTGTACCATTCATATGTGGAGACATTGGTCACAGTAAATGGAGAAATGTTAGATGCTGTGGATAAGGTCACTTAACCTTGGCGGTATATTCTCCAGGGCTGTCCACATAGATGATGAGGTTGATGCATGTGTTGCCAGAGCTAGCTCAGTGTTTGGAAGGCTCCAAAAGAAAGTTATGGGAGAGAAGAGGTATCACTGCCTGAATATTTTCAGATCTGTCATGCTGACTACACTGTTGTATGCCTATGAAGTCTGGACAGTCTCTCAGGCCATGCCAGAAAACTGAACTGATTCTACTTGAATTGTCTCAGGAGATCCTGCAGATTACCTGACAAGATAAGGTACTAGACACTGAGGTCTTTCTAGAGCTGAACTGACAAGCATTCAAACTCTACTGTACAGAGTACAGCTCTGATGGGCTGGCCATGTAGTTCAAATGCCAAACGTGTTTGCCTAAAGACTATTTTATGGAGGACTCACACAAAGAGCACTCACATGAAGGTCGGAGGAAGCAGTACAAGGACACTCATAAGGTCTCTCTGAAGATTATCCATTGTGTATCAATTATGAGACATGAGACTCACTAGCACAGGACTGCCCAGCATGGTGTGCCTACACTGTGCTCCATGAGCAATGCAGAAGCATAGAGGAAATGTGAACCGTGCAAATCCAGAACCAGTTGCACTCTAAATATTCTAACAAAACACTTGTGTCTTCCGAACTCTTGTTCTCTGATCAATCACAGCCAAGCATGCCTTACCCTGACTCCCAGCATATGTGATGTCATTAGGCCTCTTCAAAAAAACGAAGGACAAGTAACAGAATTTTAGAATGACAGTCACAAAATGTCCGTGTGGTAGTGCTCTACAATTATCAAAAGCTGACCACTATGCTGAAAATCAGTGTTAGCCTTTGTCTCCACCTTCCTAATTGCAGTGTGTACAGTTTAGAGTCAGAGTTACCATCTTAAATTAGTCACTTTGAATATGTGATAATAGGCAAGGATTTCTTTTGTTTTTAATAAATTTGTATTATGCCAGTTACTTAATTATCTTTAAATTTGCTATTTTTTTTTGCATGGTAAAATAATTGTATCAGTTTACAAGTGTGACTTTTTCATTCCTCAGGAATAGTGGATCAATCACAACAAGCATATCAAGAAGCTTTTGAAATCAGCAAAAAGGAGATGCAACCAACGCATCCTATAAGATTGGGTCTGGCCTTGAACTTCTCTGTGTTCTATTATGAGATCCTGAACTCTCCAGAGAAAGCCTGCTCCCTTGCAAAGACAGTAAGTTTGGTTTTCTGTTTGAACACTTAGCAACTTAGTTAGAACTTGAGAATTAATTTTTTTTTCCTGTTACAGGCTTTTGATGAAGCCATTGCTGAACTTGATACATTAAGTGAAGAATCATACAAAGACAGCACACTAATAATGCAATTACTGAGAGACAACTTGACAGTAAGTACTGTCTTATTAACCAGAGTGGTGTAATGCTTGATAAAGTGAAGAAGAATCACTTTTGGATTGGTTACTTTAAAAATGAAAGCAATTAGCTTGATAATTCACTTTGCTTTATACTAATATGATTCATCTGAAATAGCTATTGTCCTGAAACAGTTTCTGAATTGATTAGGATTTTGTAATAGCAAATTTTACAAGCAAGACTAATTTTAAGTTCATAGTTCAGTTATCTATTTAGGATTGTACAAAAATTTTACGTATATTTTACGTTTTAAAACCATCTTGGAGGGGAATGCTTTTGATCAATAGCTAAAGAGGTACACATAAGTAGCAGCATTTATGGATGACAAAGGAGGTCATAACTGACTTCATTGTGTGTGGAAGGGAATATGAACTTCAACAATTTGTAATGAATGTACTCCTTGGGCTATAAGTAAATCAGATGAATTTATCACAGTAAGATTTTTTTTTTAATTAATTTACTGGTTAGAGCAGAACACTAACTTTTAGTGATCTGTAGCATGGAGGAGTTAACCTTTTTTCATAGCTCTTTTTCATGAGGGTAAAACTTTGGTAAGAGCATACAATCCGATGTATAACAGAGCCATATTGAAACCCAGTATGTGTGTAATAGTGGCACAAAGTTACACACTGTCAAAAAAGCATGGTTAGCCTCAAGAGAGTGACCTCTGAATTTTAAAATTGCTTCGAGACAGGTACTATCCTTCTTCTGCAGCACTTCTTAGTAACCATTTGTATTTGTGGAGCAGATCAAAACATCCATCAGAATATAATTGTGCATATGATAAAACCAAGAAATTTTAACATAGGAATTAAGTCTCCACCCACCCCCACCTCCCATTGCAAAAATATCAAGTGCTCTATTGTATTCGTTTCTATTGGGTATCAAAGCCAGTAAGTTATGATAGGTTCAATACCTGGTTAGGGTAAAACATAATTTCTAGTAGCCTGTTCCTCCAAACAGAGTCTATAAATATACCCTGCATATTTTCTTACCCTCACATTTCCTTAGGCCCTTTTCTCTCCCAACTTTTTCTAGTTCTTTTGCCAGGTTTTGTGTACAAAAGTGTTCTCCCTTTAATCATTAGTAGACTGCATAGCAGACCTCTTTGTGAAGTGATTTTTGCATAACGCAAATTTGCCCCCAGGCATGAGGGTAGAGAAGGGAGGAGACCAGCACAGTTCACGGACATGTGGGAGCAGGGCAGAGAAAGGAGCAGGAGTAGGAATATGTTGGGGCCTGGATAGAACCAAGAGGAAAAAAGCATTGGGGGGGGGGCAGACAAGGACATAGATAGGAGAAAAGGGGCAGCAACATGGGGGGGAGGCAGGAAGGGACCAACAGAAGTTAGATATCTAGGCAGGTGGGCAGAGCAGAAGGTCTCTTCTCTCAGCTATGGAGGTTGCAAGCCAGGTGTCCCCCCCCCCCCCCTTCTGCTTTCATTCGGAGGGGTTTTTTTTGGGGGGGCGCTTGGATTGAAAGGTAGAATGATGAAACCCAACTGTAAGTCTGTGTCTTATATGTTCGTGATAAATATTGGACATTGAACTTAAGGTTACTTTACAAAATCTTAGTTAGTTGAAACTCCAGTCAGAATAATCCCTTCATCTTGAATCTTTTTGTGGTTCTGTATTTGAATGTTAATCAAATCTACTGATCTAAAATTGAATGATAACCTGTATGCAAATCTTTTGGTTCTCTCCTCACCTGACTTATTAATTAGCTTTTCTTTTCCCTCCTCTGTTATAACCTCTATAAGGTGATCTAGAGTTAAATACATCACTCTTATTTTTGGTCTTGTTTATATATTTGGGGGTGGGGGGAGTTTGTTTGAAATCATAGGTAAAGAAGTATTGAGCATAAATTTTAGCCAGAATTTTTTGTTTTGTTTTGCTTTTTTCCCTTAAAACTATGTTTATGTTTTGGTGCTATTTACTTATAAATATGAAATGTCTTGGTCTTTGTACAGACTAGAGCTGAAAATATGGCAGCTTTAGGGGTATCTTCTTTAGCTGTGTATGACAAATAATAGTCTAGTTTAAGGGTGTTGGCATTTCTGGTCTATGTTTTAGTGTATGTTTATGTACACGTGTATGTATTTTCTACTGTGTTCATTACTTTCAGGTTTATGCACTGTTTGTTGAACCTGTATGTTGATGAAGGTGATGATAGAATTTCTAGGAGTTTCATCTCATAACTGCTGATGTCTGAAAATAATTTTTTTGTAGTTAATCCTATTGGGAAGACTGGTGAGGTACTAAACTTGGTTACAACAGTATATACTTTGCCATGCTTGATTGATAGTGATAATTGTTATGCCGTGTTATTCATTACATTTACTTAGATATTAAGTTGAAGAAAACATAAGTTACAAGCAGGTTGTGTTTTTTTTACATTTTCAAATGATAGATACTAAACTTTTTCCTTTTTTTCTTTTTAATCAGTTGTGGACATCGGACACCCAAGGAGATGAAGCTGAAGCAGGAGAAGGAGGGGAGAATTAACCAGCCTTCCAACTTTTGTCTGCCTCATTCAAAAATTTACACAGTAGACCATTTGTCATCCATGCTGTCCCACAAATAGTTTTTGTTTACGATTTATGACAGGTTTATGTTACTTCTATTTGGATTTCTATATTTCCCATGTGGTTTTTATGTTTAATATTAGGGGAGTAGAGCCAGTTAACATTTGGGGAGTTATCTGTTTTCATCTGAGGTGGCCAATATGGGGATATGGAATTTTTATACACGTTTTACATGTTTGGCATAGTACTTTTGGTACATTGTGATTTCACAAGGCCAGTGTTAAAACAGCTTCCATGTCTAAGCAAAGAAAACTGCCTACATATTGGTCTGTCATGGTGGGGGATAAAGGGATAATTGGTTCCAGCCACAGGTGTAGTTATTGTGGTACTTTAGGTTGGAGCACTCATGGCTGTGGTAGAAACAGATGTCCCATAGATATTACATGTCATTCCATGTGTATCTGTGAATACACAGTCTCAATGTACCTTTATGATTGCAGTTGCAAAAGTGTTCCTTAAGACAAAGTTTTAACCCAGTCAATTTACTCTGGAGAAGAGCAGGAATGGTTCACATTCCATTATTTATAAAGTTACCTGCTGTTTGCTTTCATTAATTTTGTAAACTCATTTTATTTGTATTTATTTAAAATGGTTTAGGCAACCTAAGAACAAGTATACAAGCAAAGATGCAGTAAAAATGAATTGCTTGATATTCATAAATTCATGTATATCAAGCAAAGCAGTAAAACAAAAACCCATGTATTTAACTTTTTAAAAGTTTTTTTCTTTTGTGACTTTTTTGATACTTGCCTAACATGCATGTGCTGTAAAAATAGTTAACAGGGAAATAACTTGAGATGATGGCTAGCTTTGTTTAATGTCTTATGAAATTTTCATGAACAATCCAAGCATAATTGTTAAGAACGTGCGTATTAAGTTGATGCAAGTGGAATAAAAGTTTATGAATGGACTTTTCAACTACTTTCTCTACAGCTTTTATGTAAATCAAATCTTTAGTTCTGAAACTTCTCTAAAGGATTGTACATTTTGAAGATTTACTTCCCACTTGGTAGCTATATAATGGGCTTTAAAAAAGTATAAAAATTATCAAATGACAAAAGTTCCATGTGTTCCATATTGTTCCAAACATTACTCCCCTCTCCACCACCCTGATTTTCAGTTACTCTTTTAAAACAAAAAGTGGTGGTCTGAATAAAATCATTATGTTCCACTTAAAATTTTTCGTATGGCATTTTTCTAACTTAAGGAAGCTACAAGTCTCATGGTTTGTGGTGACATTGGTTAACTATCAGGTTTGTGCTTCCAGTGCCCCTCTTTAAAAGAATTTGTTGCTATTCTTATAACCTGCCTTGGATTTTAATCCCATATTCCAATTTGTCAGGTATACCTTTTAGCCTTTTCTCCTTCTGCCTTGTCACCAACCATACTCCTATTCTGGTGGTGGAGGGGGGAGGGAGGGTATTGTGTGGGGAAAGATAGCATGATATTTCTGGCTTCAGTATCTGAGATTCCTTTCTTCCTTTGCTTGCATCCCACAAACTTCTTGCCTCCATTCCTATTTCCTATAGGAAATCTTCCCTTAATTTAGTGAGATAGTGGCTTTTTTTTTAAATCTCACTCTAAACCCTACCCTGAATGGTCTGTTATTGTCTGCCTTAAACTCTTACCTTAACCCAATCCTCTCACCAAGTGATGGTGGGACTAAGTTATACCCAAAGCTCACGCTGCAAAATCTTCCCCTCACTACCCTTGTAGAAAACACCAAACACAAAATACCATTTAAAGAGAGAGGTGTATTTTTTGTTATAGAATGTAAGCTCCTCAAGGGCAGGGACAATGTTTTTCTGTATGTTCTGTTGTGCCTAGTACACTGTAAATGCTCAATAAATATTGATGATGGGAGGCAGTGAGTCTTTATGATAAGCAGAGGTGAGAATCCTGCACTGAAATCTCAACTAATGTTTATTTTATAAGCCTACTGTTCCATTATATCCTTCTTAGGTTAATCTGGGAGGTGATGGCCTAGAACAAAGTGGAGGCTTCAAAGGCTTTTTCTTTGGAGCAGAGATTTCAACTTTGGAATAAATAGATCATCTTCAATCAGCATTCCTTATACTTTACGCTTGGCAATTAACCGTATCTCTTTGAACTTAAAAAAAAGAAGTTTCTTAAAAGACCAAGAGAAAGTATAGCTAGTTTGAAGCTTAGCTTAGCTATTCGGTAAAATCTGAAAATTGTCATGAATTTGGTTCTTTTTTAGTTATTTTTTTCTATACAAGCTCAGTTTAAAACTAACCCCCAAAAAAAAACCTATAAAAGGACTTGATCATTTGATTAATTTATCTGTTAGTATTCAATTAGTATAACTAACTTTTTGCTCTCTAGACTATAAATTTGACAGTGGATATTTAACACCAAGGCTGGATACTATTCAGTTTATTTTTGTCAATTAAATCTCCACAATATTTAGATTTGACTTCCTCTAGTCTTCTAGTGCACGGGTAGGGGACCTGTAACCTCAAAGCCATATCCTTAATTAAAGGATTTGTTCTGTGAACTGTGGATTCAGTCAAAAGGGCTGCCCTTAAGGACCTAGAGAGCCATCTTGGGGCTGCGAGTTTCCTACCTCTGCTCTAGGGTTTGGACTTGGCACAACCTTCATTCAACAGTTGCATGCCCACTAAGTATAAAGCAATATTCCAGGCTTTATAAAAGTAGATATAGTGAAAAACTTTGTTTTAAATAACTGTCCTTGCTCCCTGCGCTTAGCATTAATGAGTACAGATGGCACATACACAGCTAATCATTTCCTTAGATTCAAAACAAAATGCTGTGTCAGATGGAGGTAGAAAATGTTTACAAGTGATTGTTCAGTAAAAGTACCCAAAAGGATTACTTTGGTTAATTTCTATAGAAAGGGAAGGAATTCAGTAGGCCAAGAGTGAGGAGAGGGAATGGTGGACAGTGCATGGGGAAGTTGGATCAAAAACATGAAAGCACAACTTGTGCTGCAGGGATGATGGTTTAAGTGGGTTAGCTAATAAGATTTGTTCCATTGAATATACTGTTAATTAATGTCCCTCAGCTTCTGAGGACGGGAAAGAAGGTGTCTGGATTTTTAATGTGTAGCCTCCCAAAGGGACACACAATAACTTGGATGAATGCTAGTTTTTAAAAATTTAGTTAAGATTGATAAAACAATTAGAGGAAAAAACCTGGAATCCCTTTGGGAAATGTGGGGGGGGAAATTAAACACAGGAATCTTTTTAAAGTTTCTAGAGCGTAAGGAATAAATCTTTCATGTCTTCACATTCAGCACCCCACTCTAGCTGCATCAAGCTTGGGATTGGCTCCTGCCTAGAAGAAATTTCTGGGATATCTCTATTTCTAAATTCAACAACCATTACTAGCAAGGGCTAACATAGCCTGGGTCATAAATCTTTTTTCCCAGACTACAAAGGAAATAACATTCTCCATATACAGGTACTCCTTCCACCTAGTTGATTTTTCACATCGTAAGCTGGAACCTGTTTCTGTAAGATTTGGCTAGTAAGGAGGGAGGAGGTTGAATGAACTGGATTTTTTTTTTTTGGTTAGGCAATGGGGTTAAGTGACTTGCCTGGGGTCACAGTTAGTAAATGTTATGTGTCTGAGGTCGGATTTGAATTCAGGTCCTCCTGACTCCAGGGCTGGTGCTTTAACCACTGCGCCACCTGGCTGCCCCAGATTTTTTTTTTTTTAAAGAGAGGAAAAACTTCCCCCATCACTCTAAATCCCTTGGATGAAGTTGACCTCTCCCTAAAATGATGTGTGTTCAAAGTGTCTTCTTTCTTTGATTAACTCAGCGTGGAGGAGGAGACTTAAATTTTTGCAGTTGTCTGTTGTAGCTGATTCCTACCTTGGGCCTCAGGTCTTTTCTGGAGAAAGAAGCTCAACAGCAAGGCAGAGCCTCAGTGACTGGGCCATGTTCATCCCGGACCCCCTTTTTTTTCTTTTAAGGCGGCAATTGGTGTTAAGTGACTTGCCCAGAGTCACACAGCTAGTGAATGTTATGTGTCTGATGTCAGATTTGAACTCGGGTCCCCCTGACTTCAGGACCAGTGCTGTATCCACTGCACCACCTAGCTGCCTCTGTCCCATTTTTTTGGTGTAGGATGTGATCAACTGGTTATTGAGAGGTAGGAATAATTTGATGTAAGGCCTTCAGAATAGGACACCTGCTCACAAATAGTACATAATAACAGGTTTCTATAGCCTTTACATACGTGATCATATTTTTGGTCCTTATATCCTTGTGAGAGACTAGGTAGATTGTTTCAACTTCACATGAGAAAATTAGACCATAGTAAGATTAAATGATTTGTTTCAAGTTACGCGATGACAGAGGCAGAACTTGAACCTAGGTCTCTTGACTAATGAGTCAGTAAACACGTGCCTAATATGTGTCAGGCACTGTGCTAGTAAGTGCTGTTACAATAATGTGTAATAGAGGAAGAAGAGAGGTACTTCATTTGGAGTTCCATGTGTTTTTCCCTAGTTCTTTGAAAAGCACAATGCAAGTTTTTTCCTCATAGGCCAAAAAAACCCCACCAACACATTGATCTATAAAGGAGTTATATGAATTCTCTGTTGAAATGGGAGAATAAAAAGACAGATGCTGAACTGGAGAACAACCTTCACGTAACCTCGGAAGAGGGGGTGTGATTTAAGTGGAGAGAACACTGAATTTGGAATCAGGAAGACACGAGTATAGATCCACAGCATACATTTTCTAGTTGGGTGATCTCAGGCAAATCATTTCCTCTTCATGCCCTGAGTTCTTCATTTGTACAATGAGAAAGTTGGACTGGGTGGCCACGTGGCCACTTGGTTCATTACACCTTCTATACCAGTCAAACACGGAGAAAACCAGATGTGATGAGCTGTGGCTTTCTGGACAATGTGAACTTTAGCCAAGTTTACTTGGAAGCAGCATAGTGTATAAAGTATACTGTCTGGTGAGTTAGGAGACCTGGGTTCTAGTCTTATTTCCATTACTT